CGTGATAAGAATTAACATAAAGCATTTCATTTTATGAGTTTCCCTTTCCCACAGCTGACCAGAGAGTAAGGAGAAAGCACTACTCTGATACTGAGTGAGAAAGGAATGGTTCTTCTAATGTGTGTACACATATGCTAATGCACACATGCAAAGCATATACATATTGTCCAGAAGAGGTTAGTTCAAGGGAAAACTATTTTAAAAAATCAGTATTTACATAGAGATGACAAAAGGATATATGTATAAAAATACTTAAAGTTTATATTTGCTTAGGTTGAGAGAAGAAATGTTAAGTACTTGGCTAACACATTGTATTTATATATACATATAGTCCATAAACACACATCTATTGAGCTACTCATGTGTGTTCTTATATATTACCGGGATTTGGTTTTAGCTTTCTAGGGGCCACTTGTCTATGAATGATACAGTTCATACCTGTGATAAATAACAGAATGCTCCAGAAAAGCGAGAAAAGTAAAGTTTGCCTGTGGTTGCTTGAGCATGATGAAGGGTAGGAGGTATTGAGACATTTTTAATGAAGAAGTGGTGCTAAGAAAAGACCCGAGAGAAACAAACTTGCACAGGACTCTCGGGAAGCTCCAGGAGCCTCTATTATTTCTGTTTCTTTTTCAGACTCAGAATCCTGGCGGAAAGTGCTGAGGACCCAGGAACAGGCATGGCTGCGGAAGTTGGATGAAAGAAGCAATACTAGCTAATGTGAAGTATCAAAAAGGACCACTGCAAAGGGACTTTAGAGACCCTTGGTCACCTTCTGCCTTGCAGAAGTTAAAGAACCTTTCAATGCATTTTCTGCTCTTGGAAGGAAACCTAAGTCACTATGTCTGTGGATAGGAAAGCCAGGACCAAAAGCCAGCCTGTGGCATAGTCCCAGGCCAGAGGTGAGAGAGGGTGGTAGATGCCAGCAACCTAAATCCTAATGCTGGCTCTTTGCCTTCTAAGATGTGGCCTCACCTTATATGTCCACTCAAGTGTTATTTATCTTTTAATTTATTATTATTATTGTGTTTTATTTTCTGATTATTTTTGAGACAAGAACAGAGTCTATTTAGGCCTGGCTGATCTGAAACTCATTGTTTGGATTTTTTTTTTTCCAATAAGCTCCTATCCCCAACCTTGGTTTAACCGCTTCTCTAGTGCTGTGAAGGAACGCCATGATCAAAGTAACTCTTATAGAAGAAAGCATTTAGTTGGGGCTTGCTTACAGCTTCAGAGGTTTAGTCCATTTTCATCATGGTGGGGCATGGTGGCATGTGTAGTGCTGGAGCAGGAACGGAGAGCTACATCCTGATCTTCAGGCTGAGAGAGAGACCAGAATCTTTTAAAACGTCAAAGCCCATATCCAGTGTCACACTTCCTCAAATAAGGCCACACTTAATCCTTCTACTTCTTTCATATAGCATGAAGTCACTCCCTGGTGACTAAGCAGTCAAATACATGAGCCTATGGGGGCCATTTTTATTTAAACCACCACATGCCTGGGGACATAAAACTCATAGCATGGTCCAGGTCAGAGGTGACTGAGGATGAGACTAGCAGCCATGTCCTAATGCTGGCACTCAGCCTTCTAAGATGTGGCTTCAGTTCAACCCCCATTCAGTTGCATTATTTACCTTTGAAATTTAGTTGGCTTTTTTTTTTCTTTTTTTGGTGTTGTTGATCTTAACTTTTTGCTTTTTTGAGAGAGGGTCTATGTAGCCCTGGCAAGCCTGGAACTCACTGGTTTTTATTTTTTCGCCAGTAAGTTCTTATACATACCATTTGCTTGGAGGCTTTTAATAGGTCAGGTTCACTCTTTTACCAAGAATGTATTAAATTTCTGCCAAATCTTAGGCTCTGGGTCACAGTCGCATGGCTCCTGGCTTCTCAGAATTCAATACCTTGTGTACAAGACAACAATGAAATGAACTACCTGCAGACAAACACTTCTGTATGTAGGCTCCATGAAGAAAGATGTTGCAAGGGGTTGGGCTGGGAAGGTCTTTCTGAGACAGTTTAGTGGACGTGAAAAATAGTCAGCGTGTGCTGCACGGGGAAAAGAGGTATTCTTGGCAGCAGACGCAGCATTTGTGGAGGTTCTCAAGTGCAAGAGAGCCTGGCATGCTTGAAGTGGCTGGGCAGTTACAGCCAGCGAGTAATGAGGTAGCAACTGCTCACGGTCCTGGTTCAATTTAGGAAGATTAGGCTCTCTGAGTGTGAGCAGATCTGGGAACTGTGTATAAATCTCCCTCCCTTCCCTTCCCTTCCCTTTCCTTCCCTTCCCTTCCCTTCCCTTCCCTTCCCTTCCTTTCCTTTCCCCTCTCCTCCCCACTCCTCTCCTCTCCTCCTTCTCTTCCATTTCTTGTTTTATTCCACAGAATAAGAGGAAAGATAAAATAGAGCAGACATGAAGGAGTCCATTGGGCAGAATATAGATTATGCTCCCTGCAAGGTCCTCAGATTTCCTCCTGCATATCTGGGGTGATAAACATATGATGGAACCTGAGGGGGCAGAGAGTAAAAGACAGACGATCGACTCTGAGGAGAGAAGCTGATCCCCACCATAGAGGGTCACTAGGAACCCAGAAAAAATGAGAACATAAGGTCAGAGCTTTCTCCAGCTCAACCTTAAACTTGAAGGGCAGGGACACTTATATCACTTCTAATCCCTTTTCCTATTGCTTTTGTGGGGAATGTGAGGCCAGATTGGTGCTCTCAAGGAGAAACTGAGCTGGTATCTTAGGTTTCCATTGCTGTGAAGAGACACCATGGCCATTGCAACTCTTATAAAGGAAAACATTAAATTTGGGTGGCTCACTTACAGTTTCAAAGGTTCATTCCATTATTATCATGGTGAAGAGCAAGGGGTGCATGTAGGTAGACGTGGTGCTGGAGTAGTAGCTGAGAGTCCTACATCTTGCAAGCAATAGGAAATCAACTGAGACACTGGGAGGTATCCTGAACATAGGAAACCTCAAAGCCTGCACCCACAATGATGCACTTCCTTCAACAAGGCCATACCCACTCCAACAAAGTCACTTCTCCTAATAACATAACTCCTTAGGCGATTATAGGAGCCAATTACATTCAAGCTACCACAGCTGATTTTAGCTTTTCCACTTTCCATGGGGGTAACAGTGCTGCACTCACAGGTTCAGATGAGGGGAGCTGAGTCTTCCGTCAATCAGTTGTCTTCCCATTATCAGAACCTGATTGTCAGATAACTTATTAACCACCATCCCCTTCCCCTTTACTTAGTGAATTCCAAGACTTGGCTCTTTTCTGTGGCTTCCCTTTTGTTAGCTAATGTTAGGACACTAATCTCAGGACAACAGTCCTGTCCAGTGAGGGGATGAAGGGGTCTCAGATCAGCTCTTGAACATGAATGTCTGACTTCCCTGGAGTCCTTTGAAACTTTGCTGTTGTTTTTTAACGTTTTCTTGGTGGGTAGACATCAGCTTCTCTGAGAGGCCGCCAGGGCCCTCCAGCATTACCAGCAGTCTTAGGGTGCACTACTTCCAGCATTATCAGCAGTCTTAGGGTGCACCTACCTCCAGCATTACCAGCAGTCTTAGCATGCACTACTTCCAAAGCAGCCTGTACAATGCAGTACCTTGACCTTGGGGATGTCCTAAACACCCCCCCCCCCCCCCCCCCCCCCCCCGCCCAGGAATGGCTTGTAAGCCCATTGCCTCCTTCCATGAGCAATTTGTGACTACCAATAGTTCCCTGCTCTGCATTCCATAATGACAAGTAATCATGGGGGGGGTGTCTTTATTTTCCTTTTGATAAAGGAAGAAAATATTGATGCCACCCATTGCTACTAGGGTGGGCCCACAGGGAGAGAGGTGTTGGTACACAGAGGAAACACTTGGGCACTGGGTAGGGAACAGCGAAGAGTAGGATTTGGAAAATCCCCACCTCCATTGTACCAGGATATGTCAGAACATCTCCCAGACTGCGAACTGTTCATTTTTACACCTGTGGTTGGTGCCTGAGACATAGAGTTGAATTTCTTTTTTTTAATGCCTCTTTTATTTATTTATTTATTTTATATTTTGATTTTTATTTCTTATTACTTTTTTCCTTTCTTTTTTTAATTTATTAAAGATTTCTGTCTCTTCCCCACCGCCGCCTCCCCTTTCCCTCCCCCTCCCCCAACCAAGTCCCCCTCCCTCGTCAGCCCAAAGAGCAATCAGGGTTCTCTGCCCTGTGGGAAGTCCAAGGACCACCCTCCTCCCTCCAGGTCTCGTAAGGTGAGCATCCAAACTGCCTAGGCTCCCACAGAACCAATAGGTGCAGTAGGATCAAAAACCCATTGCCTTTGTTCTTGAGGTCTCAGTAGTCCTCATTGTCCGCTATGTTCAGTGAGACCTGTTTTAACCCAGCCTTTTTCTTGGATGCTTCATTCAGCAAGTGGCTGGTGACTTAGGTCAGCTATCTCTCATTTTCTAGAGTGTCTGTCTATTCAATGTAGACGGATCATAAGGCCAGAGTGATTTGAACAACATCTGCTCCACATGCCCTGGACCAGCAGCACCACTTTCAGCAGCCATTAAAGTCCTGCAAAGTCGCGGCCTTGGGGTTCATCGCAGGAAAGACTGACAGACCTGACATACACTGAGCATGGAGTTGGCAGGCACAGGGCTGTCATTGTGTCATCCAGTTGCTATCAACAGAGTCATCCTGAAATGCTTACTCCCGTGAGTAACCACAAGGGGGTGCCCTGCCCCAACTCACCACAATGCAAAGGCAACGGTTTATTTTTATGGAGGGGTGTGCGTGCGAGCATGTGTTACAATTCTATGTTCTTCTCCCACCCACATTTCCTTTCTTCCTTTTCTCACAGTAGTGGGAATGGAACCCGGGTCTCCAGCTGGACAAGCACTCTACTGCAGAACTATATCCCCTAGATAGATCCCTGGACATTTTCTGTCTAAATTGCAAGGCTTCTTTAATACTGAAACATTGCAGACTAATATAAATATGTCCCCAAATATTGGGTGTTACTGCCATGCCTGGAACAGAAAACACTCAGAGGGAACCCTCTGTGTTGTGGACAAAAAGCAGGCATACTCTCCAATAAAAATGTATTCTCTGTCCTCCAAAAACTAGAAAAAGAAGGGATTGTTTTTAAGGAAAACTTTATGTGCCAGCTACCAAGGATGCAGTCATAATTAAACAGGTCATTTGGGGCACCTATCAGTGCTTACACAGGCAGGTTCTTTAGAGTTTGGGACTTCCAGCCTTAGTGCTCACGGCAAAGCTTGAGGAATTCAGGGTCTTAGTTTTCTTATCTCTGTGGCCCCTGGCAAACAGTCACATTGGCAGAGCAACTGCTATACAATGTCATAGGACAAAGCTCCATCCATAGTTAATGTTGGCAAGTTATAATTGAATCCTAGGACTCAAAGAACTAGGGCTCCCTCTTACACACACACACACAGACACAGACACAGACACACACACACACACCTAAGACTACACGTGTGACATTTAAACTTGCCACTTGGGGCAGACTGAAAGAAAAATTATGTGCTGTCAAATAAAATTTCCTCCCACCTGAAAGAACCCATAGCATTTAAAATGCCTAATAAAGGGAGTTTGAGAATAACGGCGATACATATAGCCAGCTAAATCATAATCCAGGAGGCATGACCATGAGTCCTGTTTGTATACCATAGTCCATAGTAACCATGGGATGGGCCATGGGATGGGCCAGACTTTTGGTGTAATCACCCTGAAGCCCTATGTAGTCTAGTCATGACTCAGCAAACAGAAAGAATTCTGACAGAAAACTTGAAGAGAAGTCATGTTCCATAGCTGTAGCGCGCAGAGATATAGCACGCGGAGATGTAGCGTGCGCCATGGCGCTGTCATGTCGTGGGCACGGAGCCTGGGCACCTTTTGCTGTTCCACGTCAAACTTGACAGACAACTTGTGCGCATGCGCGTGAGCTCCCCCCAGCGCGGGGGAGTCTTTCGATCTGGCCATCCAATCTGGCCAATCATAATCTGGCACGATCACTCCATTCTGGCCTGAGCCATTGGGTTGATGACACGTCAGGGCTTTGTCTGGCACCGTATATATTCTTCTGCTTCACGGGGACGGGGTCTTTTGCCTCTCTACAACCTCAAGTGTAAGTGCTCCAATAAAGTGTGTTCTGAGAAGAATCCTGTTGCGGTCGTCTCTTCTGCTGGCGGGAGCGGAGTGCTGCACATAGCCACTTCCTCTGAGGCAAACTTCCACTGTGGAGGCAGGCAGACATAGGGTGTTCTGAAGCGATGTGAAGTATCTATCAGAATAATGATTTCCTGCCTAGAAAAGGAAGAGGCCAGCTGAGCTTCCTGGAAGAGTGGAGCCACCTGGAAAGGACCGTTTCCAGTCTGACCAGCTGCCTTCAGGTTGGGTAGGGAGCTCCAGGTCTCGAGCTTTGGTGAGCTGTCACCTGTTCTGGAGTGGACTTTGGTAACGAGGCTTTTCTGCTCCTGGAAGTAATTTCTCACATATATGCTCATAAATAAGACCAAGGAGACCCATGACTCACCACATTGGGCTTTGATAGTATCCTTACTTTGGACTTTCCGAGGTCCTCTATCTGGGGTGAGCAGACATTAGCTCATATCTCCCCAGGAAAATGCCATATGAGGAGGCAGAGGGAATGAAAACAGGATTTGAGAAATCCAGAGGTTTCAGAAGAGGCTCAAATGTGAAAATATGAGAGTCAAGGCAAAAGACTAACCCATCAGCAACACAGTGTAAGTACACTCTATACTGAATATTCTTGGCAGCTTTTATTTGCTGGTTTAAATCTAGTCAGCATCTGGGAAAAGCAGGTGCCCACCATCTGGGTCCTGATGGAGCTATTTATTTATTTATTAGAAACAGGCAAGATTATCAGGGATAGCAAAACAGTAAATTTAAAAGTAAACATGAACATTCTAAGAAAACCACAATTGGCTGTAACCGGCAGTCGGGGGTGAAGGAAATGGCTGTGACCCGTGGTGAGTACGCACTTAGCAAGGCTGCGCTGAAGAAGGGACTAAGCAGACCTACCAGAAGGGTCGGGACAGAAGAGATATTTGGTGAAGGTTTGAAGGTAACTTCTGCATCAGGAAGGCTTCCCACATAAAATAATTGCATGCTCCTATGGTTTGGATTTATAATGTGCTCAAAAGTTCTGCCTGGTGAACATTGGTCCATCATCATTCCAAGGCTACTGGGAGGAGGCCAAGGGGGGATTTTCAAGTTATTGAAACTGCACTCTTAAGGAGGTCTGTGGGACCTAGACTTTCATCTACTTTTCATTTTGGGGCCACAAGGTGACCAGTTTTGCACCACCGTGTTGTACTGTTACATAACCGAGACCCAAAGGCACCGTGTCTGCACCGTCACAGAATGGATGGACTCTTGACAATTACTAGCCACGGAAACAGAGTGACTGCACCATTTCTTGTCAAGTAGAACGTAGAAACAACTTCCGAATTTCTAACAAGAGCCCAGGACAGCCTTCCTTGGGAGCACCTTGCTGGTGAGTCAGCGTTCTCATTCTGAGCTGAGCTGAGACTCACCCGTGGGCACGTGTGGGATTTGAACTCGTTGCTAAGCAGAGTTCGGGCCATCACTGACGTCTTCAAGCATCTCATTGCATTCTGCTCACGGTCACCTCACTGTCCTCTCGCCCTTTCCTTCTCCACATATACACGTGGTAAATCGGGTTCCACATGAAAGAAAGCATGCAATGTCCATCTGTCTTTCCACGGCCTCCTGTTTTCCCCTCCTTGTAACCCCTTCCTCCCACACATAAGCTCCTCTCTACGTCCAGTTCCTGTATATACACACGTAAGTCCAGATTTTACAGGGGAAAGAAGTGCTGGCCAGTTAGGCACGTGTCCTTGATCCTTGCCATGCAGGTCTTTGTCTTTTTTTTTTTTTTTAATTGCCCATCTGAGGTATTTCTAGTGTCACTAGTGACTGCAAGTTCCCTCTCCAAATGAAGCGACCTCTGTGGGCTTTCTGGGAGCTCAGCACAGCTCTTTCCTCAACATGGCCAGCGGGGCTGTGTGTGTGTGTGTGTGAGCTTACATCCGCCTGCCACCCATGCTATCCTGGGCCAGTGAGAGGCACTGGGATTAACAATAAGAAATCCACTTATTTGAATTTTGGTTCAAAATCCATCAAGGAAATTCCCCATCGCCCTCCTTCTCCTTTCCATCTTTCCCAACTCAAATTGCTTATCTATACAGGTAAGATTTTTAAGACATCAAATTGATTTTCTTGGTGTGGTGCTGCATACATTTGAGTATCTCAAACACGCGCGCGCGCACACACACACACTTTTTAAAAGCACATTCCTGGTGGTAACAGAGGGAAGATTGCCAATTGATCAAAGTCCTTATCAATTTATCGTATTAATTCCCTCAAAATTTGAGTTGGTGATTTTGAGTTATTATTAGTTGGTATAACTGAGAACAAATAAAATAATTTTAACAATAATCTTCTAAGGTCTACCAGGTAAGCTGTAGTGTTGCTCACAAGAGAAAGTGTCTTTAGGTGCACCATTACCTTAACTCGAAGTTCTCCTTTAACCAAACTCTATCACCATTGATTCTTCTTGGAGCAGTGGAGGCCACAGTCTCTGAGTGAGTCTACCTCCTTTCCTGTGTGTGCCTGCCAGAAATGGCCATTTTGCTGACATAGTTACTCAGGCTATTTTCCTTGAAAACCAATGGAGTGACATTTGCTTTGCCACAGAAACAAATGAGCAAGTGGACACGATCTGATCTATCTACCTTACCATCTGACGGAGCAGGGAACTGGTCTGTTGAGTCATGGAGCACACTGAGAGAAACTGTTAAGCTGAGCACATATTACTGATACCAGCATGAGGGCATGCAGTGATGAGCCTAACTGCTTCATTCACAAAGATGGACACAAGACCCCACTCTCGCTGAATACCGGGCACGCTCTTCCATCTGAGCTTAGCTCCTCCATCTTCTACACTTCAAGCTTTCCCATAATGCCACCACCATCATACTGTTCTCAGTGCTTAGGTCTCCTGCAGGCATGCAGGCTTCCCCACCAGCATGGCAGGGGTGATGGTGCTCACCTGCTCGGTGAGGTTTCACAGGTTTCCCAAATAACTAAGAGAAGAAACTTTCACCACAGAGTTAAAATATTTAATGACAAACTTTGAGTAGCTGTAATTGCGAGCCAACAGAACAGCTGTTACTTGTCTCCGAATGAAACGCAAAGGGGGCTCAATGTCAGAGAGAATTTCTGAGGAACCAAGAACACACGTTAACAGCATCACAATTCTGAAAGTTAGGGGTGAAACCTATCTCAACTAGTTTCTTTTATTTAGGGAACTCTGTAAATGTTTCTACAGAAATGCATAACCTTTTTCTACTCACAATAGGATAAGACAGATTTCACTATAATTTTAAGTCTAACATGTAAGCTTACTTTTATCGGACCTTAAAAAAGGTGAACTACTGATCTTGTTACATTTTACAAATACATTCTTTAAGATGAAACATCAACCTGAATAACTGCATAGCTCCTGTACATAGAAATCTGACCACTCCAGTGAAGAACTCGACGGCTGCACTCCAGGAGGAAGGGGAAACACTGGCCAGCTCCTTTTCTCTATGCCTCGTCAGTGTGATGTGCAAAGTCCTTCAGAGAAAGACTGCATTTCTGAAATTCACAGTGAAATGCAGAAATCTAATAAGCACTGTGAATCTTCCAGCAAGCTCAACCAAATGGGTTGGGCCCAGATGACAGGAGTCCCTTGAACAAATTTCAGTGGGTTAGACTGCATTAGTATTTGCTATTGCAGCACCTTCTACGAAAGGGTAGCGAGAATTTCACATGTGCTGTCGGGGGCTTCTCTGCGTGAGGCTGGATGGCTGACAGTTAAAGAGGGGCAGCAACAGCTGTTACAGACCCGACTCTGGTGGAGGACAAGCAGGTGAAGACCATGATGAAGGCCTGGATGCTGACTGATCAGTAGAGGCAGCTAACGTAACTCCCGGTGAGCTTCTCTTCTAGTTCAGGCTGTTTCTAACAAGACTTGGGCCTAGTGTGATCCACAGGAAGAACGGAAGGAGGGCAGGGAAGGGCACTTACACGTAGAAAAAGGAACTCTGAGAATTAGGCTGAGGAGGAAGATTCAGCTTTCACAGTATGCATATGGCCCACCCTCTGCCCCTTCTGAATCAGCTGCCCCAAAGCAGACAACGAATTTTGTTCTTGAGTGGTGTGGGGAAAGTAAGACCACCTCTCTCAACTATGTACGCTAACTCTCTGAAACGAGAATCCAGTTGGGGAAGATGAGTATGTGTGTTTTCTGAGCTAAAGTCTGCAGATGAAACCTATCTGAGGTGATAAGTTGGGCCTTTGTATTTTTATCGTTTTAGAAATCAGACAGTTCCAGTAGTCAGTGGATTGCATGTTCCCGGCTTCTTTAGAATGTTAAGACACCTAAAGAAAAGTATAAGGTATAGTAAACATTCCTAGACCACAGTAGACATTTTTCCAGTATGTTCTTCAACTGGACTATCTGCCCGCCCGAGAGGATTATTTGCCGCAAATTGCATCCTCCTGACCTCATGCCTGTGACATTCCATGAACCATGTGCTCTTTCCCTGGGATGTATTAGTAGGAGAACTTACACTATTTAAATCACATTAGTAACCTAAAGTCATCTTATGCTGCTGCCTCAGAGGCTACATCACACACAAACAGGTGGATACAAAAGAACGAATGGGTCCTAAGACCCAGGCAGCTGAAAACTCCATGCATTGCAGTGAGTGTCTGACATGTTTTGCTTGCCTCGTTGCTTTACGAGGAACAAGCACAGATTGTTTTGCTTTTTTTATATTTAGTTTTTAATCCTCCAGAAAACAGAACGTCCACAGTCTAAGTGCAGTAAATCCTGAGCAACATCAAATTCAAAGGTACGGAAGAGATTCTGTTCATTCTGACAGCAACACAGAGGCTTGTAGCCATGCTGTCTGGACCAGAACAGGCAGGTTCTAATGGACACATATGCAATCTGTCACGAAGCACATGTTAAACAACACAAAATAAACCAAAAACAAAACCAATATCCAAACCTCCAAAACCCAGATACCAAGAAATTTGGGGTCCTTTCCGAAGGCTAATGTGAGAGTACCTCTAACATTGGGCATAACTTTGCAAAAGGAGAAAAAAAAAGTAGCATCTTTTCACATTATGATTTACACAGACTTTTATCTAGACAAGTTATTTATTATTATTGTTTTTGTGTATGTGTTTTATAAGGTGTGTCATGACACATGTATGTATGGATGTCAGAGGTCAACTCTGTGGCATCCAGTCACCAGGTTTATGGTATAAATACCTCATCTACTGTGCTACCTCACTGAGCCTAGATACATTGGTTTTTGTTAGAAGTATATCCACCCCCCAAGTCAGCTACTATAATTTGAGAGAATGACAAAAGAGAGAAACATCCGTAAGACATGGAGCTTTTAAAGGAGGGTTTTCCGTAAAGGTCTGTACACCCAAATTTTTACCCTTCGTGTGAAAATTCCTGCTAATCAGACTGGAAAAGAAGGAGCGGAAATGTTTATGCTTCAGCCCAGAAAGTAGATTTCTATTTGTGGTTCCGACTTGTTTCGTGAATGCTAGTGATGGCTCATGCAAAAAGATGAAGATGCAGTGAAGAGCAAACCCAATGCCGCTCCTCTTCCTGACAAGCGTGTTTTCTGCAGCACAGACTTAAATCCCAGGATACTGAATTTTAATTTTGCTCTTCAGATGAAGAGAGCCAGGAATGTAAGTGAATCCACGGCTTGACTTTTAATTTTACCCAGGACCATCATCTGATGCCAGCATATTCAACTGTTTTCTTGCTTAGTTTCCAAGGGTGAAAAGAAAAAAAAAATTTTTTTTTTGCTAGTTTAGACCTGGTTTATCATTTAGTCTGAATTTTATATTCAAACTACAAAAAAATTTCCTTCAAAAGGAAAATATACACACACACACACACGCACGCACACACACACACAAAATGGAAAAATAAAGATGAAGTTGATGCTATTGCAGCGTTTCTTAGCAAGATAGCGAAATGTATGAACACAACACATTTTCATTCATATTAACATCTGAAGATGAAAAGCCAAACCACTCAATGTCCAGATACTGGAAAAAACAAATAAACAGACAAAACAACAACAACAAAAAGAAAGAAGCAGCAGTCTGGAATTCTTGTAATCACGGCTGAGCAAACTCTTCCATTTTCTCTAGAGGTTCACCAGGAGAGGCAGCTTCTCAACACTTGTGCTTCATGGCAAGCTAAGGAGAGAGAGAGAGTGAGAAAGGATGAGATCAGATGAGACCTTATTAAAAGGGAGCTCTCCCTGCCTCTCCCTCCCACATCCAGGATGAGATGCGTCACCAGACTCTATGTGTGGTGACCGCCACCATTCCTAGCCTCCCTGGATCCTGACAGATGTGCGCCGGAGACTGCACTTTGTCAGCCTTGCTGGTTTATGTGTCTGCTGGTGGAGGATGCTATGCAGTGTTCTTTCATCCCACTACAGGAACAATGGAAACAAGATGCCCAGGGAGGACAGGGGACTCACCCTAGGGACAGGTGGGGTGCCTAGGTCACTGGTTACGTCAGGAAGCAACACTCTTGAGATGTTAATATTTAAGTGTGAAAGCTCAACAGCATGCTAAGAGACAAACTAAAATCATCTCTATAATATGCATACTGAATATCCAACCAGGCCCAAAGCTCCAGGCAATTAAATTGTATTATTGAGTAGGGATGAAGAATAGACCTTAGCTTCTAATTACTGGTGCTTGGCCTCATCCTGAAATAGGTCAATAATCCATCTTTCTAGAAAAGCCCGGGGCAGTCACAGTGTCATCTTCTTGGTGGCTGAAAGAGAGAGGTTAGAATCCGGAGCTCCCAGTGGGAAAATAGTATCAGTGTTGCTGCATGTGACAGAAGATGGCTAGATGCTAGACGCTGTCCTGGTATTCTGTGGATACCTCAGCTGAAAGCCTTGGTACCCCTGTATGGCACAGCCAGTGAAGACTTCCTCAGAATTTCTGCTGGCTGCAGTAATGTTTAGTCAGCTGGCAGATGCAGAATTTGTGAGTTCTGAGTACACCCATTCTTCTATATTGAGTGCTAAAGCTTTTGTTGTTGTTGTTGTTGCTTCCAACAACTGTGGTGTTGCCTAATAATTCTTGGCATTATTTAGTCAACAACACAGGGAATGATAGCGGTAGGGCCCCGCCTCAGACCTATCCCAGTCCTCAGTCACATTCTCGGCCCCTTACTGTCAGGCCTGCGTTTTTGTTCTGCCTCCAGTTTTCATGCATTATTTAGCAACGAAGTCCATCAAATAAACACAGAGCTGTTAAGTGTTGTGCGTAATGAATACGAACCATAAATATTTGATCAAGGCTACTGTGGTGGTATTTATCGAGCTCGTAACTCCCCACTAACGGGCTTGTGCCAATTCACTCAGTCACTCCTCATCAGGACGACTGGGCTGCTGCTCAGACCAGGCCCTGGGCCATGGCCACCTGTACTCGGCAGAAAGGCAATCGGATAGAACAATCTGCTACTTAGGTCTCATTGTGGTCTAAATATTTGTGCCTTCCCAAAAGCCATGTGCTGAAATCTAACTGCCAGGAGAGGGTATTAGGAGGTGGGCTTGGGAGGAGGCTGGATCAGGATGCAGAGGTCTCAGGATAAACTAGAGACTCTGCTTTCACTATGATAGGACATTCTCGAAGAGGATCAGGAAGCAGACCCTCGCCAGGCATAGAATCAAGCATCTTGACCTCAGTCTTCTCTGTGAGAAATTCACTGTTTATCAACTACCAGTTTGTTGTTTGTTTGTTTAAGTAGCCTGAACAGACTCATAATAGGTATTTGGGTAAGAAGTACCGATTCTCTGGCTTCCTTAAGTCTCTGGGAATGAAGAGCCTTAGAATTAAGGCAGAAAGATCAGTAGGACTAGACAAAAATAGGAAACTGGACTATACAACTTTGCTGTGAGATGCTGAGCTTCAAAGTCAAGAATACCTTGCCTTCTCACTATTTCCCATGCCTGTAAAACAGCCCCAGGTGAACTCAGGTGCTGGAGTTCCTCATTTACAACTTCCTCCTGGTTTCTATACTGAGTGCCTCATAGAAACCCCCTTTCATGATTTGTAACCTCTTTTACAGAATGATAATTTTAAAGAATCCTTCTGGCCTGGAGAAACTGCAATGGAAGACAATGGCGAGAGACCGACATTTCCCCCTCCTAGAGAACATAATGCCTGTTGCCAGCCCTTCCCCCACAAACGTGGGCTGGTGCAGAAAAGCCAGATTAGTGCTCTTTTCTGTGGGAAATGGCATTTGAGGGTGCCAACTGTGGGCAATGTTCTTGCCTGCTGATTCACACCCATGGTGGGCTGTCAAAACCTGGAAAACGCTGCTGCAACCTTGAGCTTTTGGGGGCAGGGGAAAGTGAGCAGAGCGGCTTCTGTCATGACCTGTTCTTTCCTGATGGCTGGACCTGTGCCAAATCCACAGTTTAGGAAGGAATCACACTTCCTCAAGACAGGCCAACCAGAGCTGGGGTGAGGAGGGTGTCGGGACAAGAGAGAAGGATCTTGTCCCTCTCTGCTCTAGAGAGGACCAGCACCTACACAATTTGAGGGTTTAGTTGTATAAAAGTGACTGTCCACTCTTGCACCTGGGTCATTGCAGGGGTCCTGGAAAAAACTAGAAGACCAAAGCTTCTTTCCTGCTGTAATCTAGAGAGACAGGCCACACTTTCCACTGGACGCTGGTAGTTCCCAGAGGAACTGTCACCTGGGATGACTGTTCTCTGCCATGCGCACTGTGTCCTCCTCCTGTAAACATACCCCACTCTTCGTGAGTCAACAGGCCACAAGTGTCTCGGGGCGGGGGAGGGTAGAAGGCCCAGCTCCTCCTCTGAACCCTCTTCCCAGAAGCAGGCCTGGCTGGCACTTGGCCAGTGAAATGGCATCTTCATGGTAAGCCTACACCAATGGGGACAAATCAGCAGTTCTTGCCCGTGGGAAAGCAGCCACACTTTATCTAAAGAGGTCAGCCTCCTCACTGGGAACGCAGCCGAGGCTAGTGGCTCATAAGTGCATTTTCCCATTTTAGAAACCCGCAAGCCTAGCTCTGACACTGTCTTACGCTCTCTCACATACGTTCTCTCCGGAACTCTACAGTGTCTCTTCTCCCCTGGGAACACCTTCCAGAGGGGCAACCAATTAAAACGCTAACTTCTCTTGCCTAAGCCTTCTTCATTGAGACCAGGCACCTGTCCTTCATTGATAAAGCAGGAGACCCCCTTGCATTTGATTGAAGTCTCATCAACTTCTGGTCTCATAGGCTGCTGTAAGGACTGCTCTCAGCTCAGACACTGGATACTGCCCGCTGCCTTACCCTTTTGATTTTAATCACACAATTTTCATCTGTATTCCGTTTTTTTTATATTGCTGTTTTAAAGTTTCTCAGTCATCTGTAATAATTCTCCAGCCTCATTACTGAGCTCATTATGTGACCAAATGGGACAGGCTCGGCAGAAGCTCTGTCTATTGAAATAAATCATAAACAATTTAGATTTATGAGCATGCTCATCTCAGCACCCAAGGAGGTAGGTGCTGTTTTTAATTAGTTGCCTCCGCTTTACTGATGAGAAAACACGGGCTTTGAGAAATTCAGCCCTTGTCCAAGGTCACCCAGATGGTAAATGACAGTGCAGGGCTCAAACGTAGGATGCTAACTACTATACCATGTCATTTCCCAACCGTCCAGCAAACTTGGCCACGGTGTCAGGGAAACAGTTGCAGCGGCCAAGAACTTGGGTGTTTGTACAGCCCCTCCTGAGAGAAACGCCAATGTGGATGACATCCAGGTATTGTCTACCCCACATCAGGAAGAATACTTTCCCAGCTTCCTTGGTAACCTGGTTCATGGTTTAATCATTAGCCAGAACTGTTTTAGCAGAGCCTTATCAGTGCACCATTGAATGCTCAATTCTGTGGGAAGGCAGGAGAGATAATCGCCTGGACAACCCAGCGTTAGCAGACGTTGGGATTCCTTTGGCTTTCTCTTCCCCACCTCAACACGAGGAGTTTCCCTCCAGGTTTCTACTGTCCATCTCCCACTCAAATAACTGGAGTTGTTTTTCCGTATTAGCGCATCTGGGGACTGTCACATTTCCACACCGTCATTTCCTCTGTACTAGAAAGCCTTGGGGAAACACGCGCCCGAGTTTCCTCCTTCTGCAACAGCTCACGGGTGTGAGGTCCTGATTCCAGCTGGTCTGTCTACTTTCTCAAACAGACTTGGCTAGTTCTCCTTCAAGGAGCTCTGCCTGGGCTTCAGAGGCAGTGCACTAAGGGCATTAAAGACACCACTGTGGCAGGGACAGCGTCACTGGGACATTTAGGCAGTTATGTGTAAAGGGGACCATGCAGGAAAGGCAGCAATAAACACCCAGCGGGAGCCAGTCTCCTGTATGAGGCCTGGAGAAGCATCTTCTGCCCCAGTGGAATATGTCTTTCCCTTTGCTTCTTGGTTCTCCATTCCCGATTCCTCAGCAGAAGCTGCATATTCTGTTGAGGCCAACTGAATTATTCTCCCTCAAAGATCAACTAAAAACTATCTGAAGGCCCTGATCATGAGCCTGACAGGCCAATATGTCACCAGTAGAAATGGTTTCCGGAAACTTAAATTCAAATCACCAGCTAGAAATGAACCACTCTTTGATATGAAGTACACGCATGGTAATTAATCTCCCTTATCGCCTGAGCAGTGGGTCTCCTCTTTCCTTCCGTTTATGATTGCCTTAGATAGGGGCTGCCAGTAACACAGTCCTGCGCTCTTCTAAGAGGCGGTTCTCAGCAAAAGGATGAACATGCGTGCTAAGTTTCCAGTTATATGAGAGGTACCATGCTCAGAGGTCAGGGCCAGCAGATAATCTTGGTGCCACCTGTGCTCAGAATTAGAGATCCAGACTATAGGTCTTGAATCAACACCCAGCCACTTCCAGAGTGGACACCAGCCTTGAGGCCAGGGCTTGCTTTACGTCTGTTGAAGAGCTAACAACACACAGTGATATATAGAATAAGAAAGGGGCAGACTGGGAAAAAGACCCAAGAAGACTAAGAGCCCCACTGTTCTTTCGATTGTGGCCAAGGACAGGGCTATATCCTGAGTCCTGATCTCATTTCTCTCTCTTCCTGTGAACCTGACTTGGATCTTGATTTTTGGGACAGTAATTAAACATTTTCCCTGTTGCCTGAAATACCTAAAAGTCAAAGGTCACAAAAAGAGATGATGATGTTAGAAACAACATGGTGACCACAAAAGCCAGGTACAAGGAGAAAAAGCCTAGGCTCTAGTAATCATGGAATCAAATGGACCTGATTTCTTCTCTTGCCGTAGGAAGTTTCTAGGCACTATGACCTCTTATAACCCAGCATGGGCACCCTCTCTGCTGGCTCACCTTGTGTGCGGTTTCTGCAAACTGCTGGGCACTGTTCTTCATGTCCTCTGTCTTCTCCTCGGCCCGGCCTAACCGCTCCCCACGCTCATTCAAGGCCTGGCTTGCCTTCTGTACTGCACTGGTCACACTGTCAGCCGCTGAATGGAGGATGCTGTTTCCTGGAAGAATTGCAAGAGTGTCAGGAGTTGGCTTGTCTAAGCCACAGTGACAGATTCCCACATTATGGAAAGGCCAAAGTTCCAGCAGCTGAACTCAGTTAACTTAGTAGCAAGGGCCTTACCTGCTCAGCCACCTCAGCGCCTTATTTATTTTTTGAGACAAGTATCTCACTGTGTAGTTTAGGCTAGCCTGGGAGTTCATCTTTCTGTCTCTGGTGGTAGGATTCCGTGCTCAATAAAGCCTGTGGGAGGGTTTTTTGTTTGCCGTCTTCCAGTCCTAAGGACTGAACTCAGGGCCTTGGTAATGCGAGGCAAAACCTCCCCCACTGGCTGTTTCTCAGCTTCACAGTTTGTTTTGACTTGAAGCTTAAGTTCAATAATCACAGTAAAATTTGGGCCATAGGGATTTCCTAGATATAATGTTCTACATCCCTTCCTCTTTATGTTATCCCTTTACCTAGCCAGTAAGCCACACTCCCCAGTGTGTGGCTAAGGTGATATCATGGCTTCCAACCTCCAGGCCTGTGCTATGGCAGTGATGTTTGGGCTTCCTTGTGTGAGCTCCAGATTATGACGAACACCTGCAGCACTGTATGCTGCGAGCAGGTAGGAAACCATTTCAGAAACTGGCAAATGAAGAAATCTGGCATTTGTGAATTCAGGAATGACACCAGAGAAAAGTAGAAGCCAATGGCATCACAAAAGGTCATGCATCCTTGATACTCCAACTTGCCAAGACAGGTACCACAACTTGGTGAAGGACTTGCAGGTCCATTAGCCATGGGGGACAAGCACATTGCCAAATGACAACCTCAGGAAAAATTATACCTCTGTCTTGTTAACATCGAATGGAAGATATTTAATGGCATTTTATACAATAGCTTTATGTCTTTGAATAAGCTGATTACATCATTTTACTGGATGCTTCTAGCCACAAATAGCTTTTAATAGAAACGTAGAAATGTAATTTTCACTAGTTTCGGCTACAGAAGCTTCCTAATTTCTCCTTTGTGGGAACACTTTGCAGCTTGTGGGAAAGAATCTCAGGCAAAGAATTCCTGGTCCAGAGGCTGCACTGAAGAAGCCACTTTCTAGTTTTCAAGGATTTAATACCCACTTAAGAAGAGGGGATTAGGGTTAACTAACATTACCAGTTGTAGCCAGCATCCTCCCCCCCACATACACACACACACACACACACACACACACACACACACGTATTCTAGATACATACTATATATGTAGACGGTGAGCACAGAGCTAGGGAGATGGCTTTGAGCACAGGGGAAAGTTGGGGATTTCGGAACAAACTTAAGAGAAGAAATCTTGGTCTCGGTATGCTACCATACGCTACCCATGACTACAGTGGCCGTCTATTATCCCAGTTATTAACACAGGATTTCACAAGCATAAAAGCATTTACCAAGATCACCTCATTTGTCCAAAATTCTGAGGCAGCAGACAGGACAAGCGGAAAAGCTTGCATATGGTCATCACACCAGAAAGTGACGTGGTTGTTACCGAGGGGCCTCTGTGTGTGGATGGCCCTATCCTTTCCCACAGACACGATGTAGCAATCCTATGACGGAAATGTGGGCAGACTGGCGTACAGGTGCAGGTGTGAGCGGGTATAAGCTTTGGCAGGTGTGTGCTTTGGTAGGTTATTTCCCGGGATAATTCCAGACTGCTTCTGCCCTAAAAGTGTTTTTCTTAGTAATTAATTACTGCTAATGTTACAAGGGAAGCCAAGTGACACTAAGAAGGAAGAGGCCAGCCAGCAGGATGGACTAGGAAGATGGAGGATGTAGGGATAAGTCCCACCCCTTAGGGGGCGTGTTCGCCTCAGGCTAAAGTTCTCCTATAAAATTGGTGAGCGTGCTCCCAGCGCTCTCTTCTGCTTTCCTGGTCTCCGCGGGAACAGTGGTTCTGTAAGTCTATTCCTCCATTAAAGCTGTCTATATTTTGACAATCTGTCTGCATTCACTTACGCCGTTACAGGAGGAGAGAGTGAAATCCTTCCTAATCTGTACCACAGATTCGCAACAAGAGGATTGAGAAAAGACGCGGCAGGAATCTGTAAGTCTCGGTGTGAAGGCTTGTATTGATTGTCAACTTGTCAGGTTGGGAGTCACTCAGAAGACACATTTCTGGGCATGTCTGTGGAAGCATTTCCAAAGAGGCTGAACTAGGAAATGAGACTTAACCCCGAGAGTGGGCGTCATCGTCCCACAGGGTCAGACCCCAGACAGAATTAAAAAGGGGGATACAAGTAGAATATCAGTATCTCTGCTTTCTGACTATGGAAGTCATGTGACCAACTGCCTCACACACCCATTGCACCCACCCACTCTTCCCCATCTTCCCTGCCATGATGGCCTATACTCTTAAACTATGAAGAAAGAAAATATCCCCTTTCCCTTAAGTTGCTTCTTATTGTATATCTAACTACAGCAGTGAAGAACACAAGGCTACGGAGACAGTTCAATCAGCAGTGTGCTTGCTGCACAAGCAAGAGGACCTGAGTTTGATCCTCAGAACTTTTGTGAAAATACCAGGTGTGGTGTCGCATGCCACAGGACTAGTGGGTCCCTGGAACTCTCTGGACAGCTAGTCTAGCCAAATCAGAAGTATCCAATCCTGATGAAATATCCAGTCACAACAAATAAAGTAGAGGAGTTGGAAAGATAGCTGAGTGGTTAAGAGCACTCACTGCCCTTCTAGAGAAACCATGTTTGGTCGCCAGCACTGACATCAGGCAGTGTTGAAAGGCCGAGGGATCTTTCGCATCCGCTGATGTCTGCACACACATAAGGCACAGACACACAGACACACAGACACACAGACAAACATATGCTCATGAGTAAAAATAAATTTCAAACCAAAATGAAACAGAGTGGAGAGTAATACAAGGAGGACACCCAAGGTTGACCTCTGGTCTACATGCACGCAAGCATGCACATGCATGTGTACATGCTCACCAGCACGCGTGTGCACGCTCACACACATAACTAATAGAGGGAGTTGGAATGCAGAAGAGGGACCATAGCTGTGGTAAGTCTGACGACTGGATTGTGGGAGAAATATGAAAAAGTGAATTTGTGGCAAGAGAGGCCCTAGAAAGCCATTATGAGAGTTTAAAGGAGTCATCCTTATGCAGCTTGTAAAAATGAAAATTCATCTGGAAGGAGAGCAACTGGACTGAGAACGTCCTTGACGAATTCCCTGCTAGAAACGAGGCTCCAGGAAAAGTGCTCTTCTGGGTTCAGTTGCTAACGTGCACAGAGGAAACTACAGCTCTGGTATAAGGGGCCAGACTACAACCTTGGCATTTTTTGCCAATATGATGCTGGTCTTCAAAATGTAAGACTTCCAGGATCACAGAGGCCAGGCAATGTGTGGCATGGTTGGATTCCCTCTAAGGACATGAGGCCATTGTCTGAGGCTGTAAGGATGAAGTACACATCACAGTTGACACTCCAAAAGATGCCAGGATTATGGGATGTCAGTCTCAGAAAGTTGCAGGCACAGAGTGGAACCAGAGCAAGAGAGACTGTATGTGTTACAGCCGCAGAACCAGAGAGAAGTGGCTCCCAAAGGTTGTGGAAGCCCATGAACCCCAGAAGCCAAAGAATCAGTGCCAGAATTTGGTGTTTTTCCTACTCAGTCTGATATTTCCAGGACTGACTCTTATGGACCTTTTTTATTGTGTTTTATTTTTTTTATTTTTTGAGGCAGGGTTTCCATGTCGCCTTGGTTTTCCTGGTCTCTTTGTGGACTAGGTTGGCCTTGAACTCATGGAGTCTGCCTCTGCCTCCCTAGTGCTGGGATTAAAGGTGTGTGCCACCTCTGCCACAGATCACTATGAACTTATAAAGGTTTTAATGTTTTAAGATTATGGGGATATTTTAAGATGGAATGAGTACATTTTCACTATGAGATGGCCATAAATCTATGGGGTAAGACATTAAGAGGTGTGTTTGGAGGGCAAGCTGACAAATGGTGTCCCTGTGATGGTTAATCTTAATTTTCAGTTTGCTGACAAAATTTAGTGTTGCTGAGAGATAGACTCTGGTTGTGTCTATGAGGGTGTTTTCAGAGAGATGTGAATGTAGATGATCCTATGCCTGGGCTGGGGTCCAGGGCTGAGTAAGATGAAAGTGGTTAGATCATCAGCACCCGTCTCTCCTTTCTGACTGTAGCTGCAGCATGGCCATCTGCCTCATGCTCCGCACGGCATAGCTGGAGTTGCCGTCCTGGCCACTTCTCTCCTGCTAGTAAAGATTGTGCTTCACATCTGAACCAGAAAACCTCTTCCTTAGTTTGCTTTGGCCAGTCATTTTGTCGCAGCAATGAGAAAAGTCACTAACACATCTGGGAACAATTGTATTACTAATTGAAGGGACTCTGGGAGTAACTGCAGTGAAATTCAAAGGACATATAATCACCATATTTTCCCAGTTATAATAGAACCATATCACTTCTTAACGTACATACACCTATGAGTTTGGACTGAATCTCCTATGCATAAGCCACATTGCTTCTATGTCAGGATTTTCTTGGGATGAATCTTGTACATGATGGCAGATAATGCTACACCCAGTTTCTTACAGCTGCTGTAGAAGGAAACGCATTGTGTAACTAAAATGGAACCAAATGCTGCCCTCCTTGTTTACAGGTGACATTGATGACCACAGCCAATAGGAAATCCACCTTCGGTTATTTTCAGGAATAAGCATGAATCTGAAAAAAATCTCTTTCATTTGAAATGACCTCTCCCAGTTTCAATGCTGCCCACATTGGAAGGGCCTGGGGAACTCCCCTCTCCTATCGGGCTCGCTGACATTCCCACATCACTAGTGTGCTTAAACAAGTGAAACCGTGGCACATAAACCAAGTCAACCTCTTCTCATACTAAACGTTTTCAGCCTCTTATGCACAACGTTTTGCTGGATCATCGATTTCTTGAGCATCCTCCTTCACTCTGTTGACCATTCCCTAGA